AGAGAAGGAGGCAGAAGGCTCTGTCGGGTGGTCTCCAAGCCCCCACTCCTCCCATCCTCACCTGGGGCGTGTACTCTCTTCCACAAGGGGCCACTTTTCTTTCTTTTTTTTTTTTTTTAGATGGAGTTTCGCTCTTGTTGCCCAGGCTGGAGTGCAACGGTGCAATCTTGGCTCACTGCAACCTCTGCCTCCCAGGTTCAAGCGACTCTCCTGCCTCAGCCTCCCGAGTAGCTGGGACTACATGCATGTAGCACCACACCCGGCTAATTTTTGTATTTCTAGTAGAGACGGGGTTTCCTCAAGTTGGTCAGGCTGGTCTCGAACTTCTGACCTCAGGTGATCTGCCCACCTCAGCCTCATTACAGGAATGAGCTACCACGCCCGGCCAGGGACCACATTTTCTTGTACTATTTCTACAAGTAGAACTAAAAACAGTCTGAGTATGGAAATGTTGACATGGTTATTCCATTCAGCACAGGAGACGGGAGAGGAGGCTTTGACTCTACCACAGTCTCTGAAGACCGAGAGCTCCCTGGGAAAGACAGAGAAGGCGAAGGAGGCAAGGCGGCTCAAACACAGTCTAGAGAGCAGTTAGTTACACGCATAGGGAGCCACCGGCCCCGCAGCGCAAAGACCCCACCTTGGGCAGGATCTCCACCACTTACTAGCCTCAGGACCTTGGCCTTTGATCTCTCTGGACCTCGGTTTCCACATCTGAAAACTGCAGGTAACAATAGTGCCTCCCAAGCAGGGTCACTGTGAGGAACAGGAGATGGTGCATGAGGAGCTCAGAAGAGTGGCCGGTCCAGGGCAGGGGCCCCAGTCACAGGCACAGAGCTCTACCTAAGGAGAGGGGCTAAGGGGACTCTGGGGGCCGCTCAGGACCCAGGCGCCAGCAAACAGGATTCAGCTCCCCGTGAGCGACCTTACTCCTTAGCTTCCTCCTGGCACCGCCCCCTCCAGATCCCGGGCACCTCCTTTCTCAAAGAGTTGTCTGAAAATGTGCAACGGAAGGAGAAATCTCAGAAATCTGACTAATTGTCCTTGTGGTTTGGGGCGGGCAGCAGCGTGGCCTTGACGCTTGCCAGAACAACTATTTATAGCCTCTTGCTTATCTTAGGCAGTACGGTCCTCAGGGAGTATGTGACACATGGCCGTTCCTCCATCAGGGCTCTGACTCAGACGGATGTCTGGGGCAGGGGTCCTCTCTCAGGGCCCCTGGCCCCACCATGAACCGGCTGCCGCCTGAACACCCACAGCAGCCGGCCAACAGGAATATGCCTTTTCCATTGGTATGTCCTCAACGACATGTGTGTACATTGAAGTTTGATGAATGGATGAGAGAATAAGCAAGCAAATGTATGTAAAGCAAAAACAACAACAACAACAAAAATGGCTTTGGAAACAGAGAGTCACAGACAAAACCTTACAGGATGGTGGAGACCCCGTGGTTAACAGTGTGGCTTATCTCACCCCAAGCATGATATCCACTCAACGCACACGTGCATCTTGTTGCCTCGATGTGCAGGCAAGAAATGTGCAAAGAACCAGGGGCCCTGTCTTGAAAACTCACTATCCGCATCCCTGCAATGGCATATCATCCATGACAAAAATAAATGAGCTATGAAGGCAGGAAAACGCACAGAGGAAAGTTAAATGCATGTTACTAAGTGAAAGAAGCCACTCTGAAAAGGACATATACTGTATGATTTCAACTCTGTGACATTCTGGAAAAGGCAAAACTGTGGGACAGTGAAAAGGTCAGTGAAGGCCAGGGATTAGGAGGGAGAGAGGAGCAGGCAGAGCACAGAGACTCTTCAGGGCCATGAGACTATTCTGCTTGATACTATAATGATGAGAGCACGTAATTCTGCATTTGTCTAAACCTATAGGACGTCAACACCGGGAGAGAATCCTAATGCAAATCAAGGGATCTGGTTACTAAGGCTGTATCAATATTGGCTAATCAAGAGTAACAATGGTACCACAAGAATGCAAGCTGTTTATATACGAGGGAAGCGTATGTCCAATTTTTGTATAAATCTAAAGCGCTCTTAAAAATAAAGTCTAAAGTACATTTTTCAAATTTATTATCTGGAAGCATGTGTTTGTAGAGAGAATGAAAGAAAAGCCCTATGCAATGTCAGAAACTTGAGGGGGGGGTGGTTATTATTATTTTTTATTTTTTTCATAGAGACAGGGTTTCTCCAGTGTTGGTGAGGCTGGTCTCAAACTCCCGACCTCAGGTGATCCACCGACTTCGGCCTCCCAAAGTGCCGGGTTTACAGGCATGAGCCACCACGCCCTGCCAGAAACTTGAGTTTTAACGACAGCAGCCACTTTAAGATTTGGCCAAGAAGCCGGGTCTGTGTGTTCCCACATCCCTCTGTGACCAGATGGGTTGCAGTAACTGCCCACCACCTGGCCTGGCCCCAGGGCATCCTACAGAAAAGGAGAGGTGAGCTCCGTGGCTTACATGGCTAAGGGGCTCTGGGATTGTCACACCTAATCTTGTTGAACTGCATCCATCACTTGAACTGCACATTTTCACTGACAGCTTTCTCCTGCCAGGACTTCATTCGGAAATGAAGCAAACTGGTCCTCAGCCCCATACAGCTTACAGCTCCAGTAATAGAAACAGCATAAAATGAATAGTTCAAGAAAATGAGCTGGGGGAACAGTGGGGCAAGCAGCTCCCAGGTTCCAAAGAGCAAATGGCAGGCAGCCTTGTCCTAAGCTTCCACACCCATATCCTACCAGACTTGCTCTTCTCTTCCTAGAGAACCAGTCACAGCCCCTACTGTGTTTGCACATGTGCTGTTACAAAATGAAGACAAAAATGTCTCAGGAAAGACCTTTTATGAGAGTGAATTTGCAAATAAAAATGCACATGAAGCACCAATCACATGAAGCACTCCTCTAGGGGCAAAGAGGAGTCGCCTGTTGATAAAGAGAAAAGCCATCGTTTCTCTAAGCGCAAACATCTAATTTAGCAAAAACCGTGACCAGTGAACACAGAGGGCGTTTGTTCCTTCAGTGTGGCTAAAGCCATATTCCAGGACGGGAAGTCCCTGAAAAGAGATTGCATTTCCATCACAGTTTTCCTCTCTTATACTAAGGCAGGTAGCTGACCACAGACTTAACCATGGGATGAGGCGGCCGGGTTTGGGATGCTAACACCGGCCTGCTGCTCAGCACCAAGGAACGTATGGGGGCTGTGCGGCGGTGAGATCGGCTGTGTCTGCTGGACACTCAGGTGTCACCCGCTGTTCTTCAGCCTTAGCAGAGGCAGAAGCACCGTGCTTCCGTGGGCAAGCTGCATCCCTGTCAGAGAACACACAGTTCTCCGCTGTGCCTGCCCCGCTGATCTACAGGCTGGCCCGCCTCCCACACATCAGGAGGATGTCTCCTGTAGAAGGAGCCAGGTAAGGGAGTGAGGCGCACTTGCTTGCTCTCCTCACCTCAAACTCCAGCTCTGATCAGGCATTCCCCAGCACTGTGGGGTTCTTTCACTCTTTCCACTGGACAGGGAGAAGCACTGTGGGTTGGGGCCAACCCCAGGCTGGCTTGGCCTTCCTCGGCACAAAGAAGCTGACACTTCTTCAGTACTAGGTGGGCGTAGTTTTAAGGGCAAGAATTTCTCAGCACCATGCCCCCCTCCCAACTCTCTCCATCCGGGAGATTTAATGGTTTATGTTTTAAATTTCACAGGCGCGGGAAGAAACTAAGAGTCAATCACTCCAGTGGAAATTTAAAGGAACCCCTTTCATTGGCCAGAGGAGTTCCCACTTGGGAAGGTGGAAATGTCTCCCAGGATAAATGCCCCTGCTCCTTCACCCACACCGGATCTCCAGCTCCCTGGAATCCCCTCCCACATGGTGGGAGCTCCCTTTCCCCTCTGGAGTCCCCTTCCACACTCTTCATGGACGTCTTTCTCTTCTTCTCTTTTCTCTACCTAAGTAACATCACCTTTCTGCAACACTTCTTTGGGTCCAATATTTACTTTTACAAGCATACAGCACAACTGCAGTGGTCCCATCGCTTATTCTTTAAGAGAGTGGAGACCAAGAACCCACAGCATTCTCTCAGGGGAGCTGTGCCTCACCAGCACCCAAGGAAAAACCCGGTTATATTAACATGCCAGTCTGACTCATTCACAGGGCTGAAGACAGAGAGAGCAGCCACCCAACGCTGCAGGGCTGGAGGGTCCGGCACACTGCATCCCTGAGCCCGCCCTGCAGATGGCAACCAGGAGCCTCTGAGCTGCTCCTGGGCCCATCAGTGCACCACGAACATGGCTGGGATGTGTTCGGTGGCATGGCCAGGGGCCTAGGTGGGTACCCACTGGCCCTGTGCTTCACCTGCTGTGTAACATGGTGCTGAGTGAGCTGCAGGGGCGTGGAGGATGAGACAAGAACCAGGCAGTGCTCCCCGTGCAAGGTGCACTCCTGGGGAGGCCCATGGCTCGTCCAATGTGTAGACTCAGCTGGATAAACGTGGAACAACAGTGCCGCGTCTGCAGGTCTTTCTCTGTAGCCCTCACAGTAGGTCCAGCGAGCCCCTACTCTTTGTATAAGAAGTCGGGTCCCAGAGGGGACCAGCCGCCAGCCACGGAACTCTCAGAGACGATGCCAGCAGGGGCCCCAACTCCAGGCTCCTCTCCTGAGGAGATGAGGGGAGCTGTACCCTCTCTCATAATGAGCAGCTCCCTCAGGGATTAGGGTCACAAGAGGTGACAACAGTGGGACACGGAAGGGGGCAGAGTGGCTCCCATTAGCAGCGACAGAAAGTTGGAGAGAAGGCAGTGGTCCATGGGCTGAGGGCCAAAAGCCATGGGCTGTGTGGCATCCCTCGGACCTGTCCCTCCCATGGTGGCGGCAAGGGCCCCTCTGAGAAGCCTCTTTATGGCCTTCTTTCGGCTCTACTGGGACCTAATCTACTGTTCCCAAGGAAACCACAAACAAACACTGCTGTGCCCGCCCCACACCTGGCTACGTGGGCGCCGGGGGACACTGGCATCAATAAACTTGTCTCCAAGCCATCAGGTCCGCAGGACAGAGAGGCAGAGGGGCGAAGGCTTGCCACCAAGTCCTGACTGTGTCCTTGGGAATGTGAGTATGTGGGTGAGCGTGTGTGAGTGTGGGTGAGCATGTGTGAGTGTAGGCAAGCATGTCTGTAGGTGTGGCTGAGTGTATACATTTGGTGGTCTGTGTTTGACTAGGTATATTTTACCGTGGATATCTGAAAACGTGTTTTTTTGTGTTAGTGAGTGTGAGTGTGTGTAAGTTTGAGAGTGCTGTGAGTGCGTGTGACTGGGTGAGTCAGTGGTTGTGTGCATGGGAGTGTGAAAGTGTAGGGGATGTGAGTGTGTGTACTTGTGAGAATGTATGAGTGCACATGTGTGAAACTGTGAGTTTTGTAATATCTGTGTGTGCTTCTATGTATGCCTACGCCTCATGTGAGTGTGTCTGAGAGCGTGTCTGTGTGTGTCTCCACGTGTGAGTGTATCCTGTAAGTATCTCTGTGTGTGTGCACACACAACAGAGTTCGGGCCTATAGTTCCATCCCCAAGGTGGATGATGGCACTTCAGCCAACAAGCATATTCTGCCTTAGTAAGTGTCTCACCCACGGTGCACTGGCCCCGCCACCATCACCCCCAGTGCTGACACAGACACAGGGCCTCAGGTGCCAATCTTCCTCAGTAAGGAGTGAGATCAACTCTTCAAACCTGAACCGTTCCCTCTCTGCTTACTTCTGGGAGATCCAAGTCCAGGGAGAAATAAAGGGCAACGCAGATCCCCTCGTGCTTGAAAGGCATTGTTTTCCTTTTGGTGAACACAATAAAGCTCCGAACTCAGCTTTTACTGCTGTTTCTTCTTAAATTTCACTTTGTAAACAACCATACAGAAAGTGCCATTTCCACCTCACAGTTTCTCTAAAACCGTGTGGGTATAACTGATGCACTACATATTCTGTTATAAACAGAATAAAGGTAAATTTCAATTCTACCTTTTCCAAATCATCGAAAATTCCAATCGTGGGGGGTCACGTGAATCAGCTTCCTGGAGCCTTACAGAAACACGCAGTAAGGACTGAAGAGAGACCAGGCATGGTGGCTCACACCTGTAATCCCAGCACTTGGGAGGCCAAGGTGGGTGGATCACCTGAGGTCAGGAGCTCAAGACCAGCCTGTACAACACGGTGAAACCCTGTCTCTACTAAAAACACAAAAATTTGCCAAGTGGGATGGTGGATTCCTGAAATCCCAGCTACTTGGGAGGCTGAGGCAGAAGAATTGCTCGAACCCGGGAGGTTGCAGTGAGCTGGGATTTTGCCTGCACTCCAGCCTGGGTGACAGTGCAAGACTGAGTCTCAAAAAAAAAAAAAAAAAAAAACAAAAAACAAGAACTGAGCCAGGCAGTGTGGCTCATACCTGTAATCCCAGTACTTTGGAAGGCCAAGGTATGTGGATCACCTGATGTCAGGAGTTTGAAACCAGACTGGCCAACGTGGCGAAACTCCGTCTCTACTAAAAATACAAAAATTAGCTGGGCATGATGGTGGGCGCCTGTAATCCCAGCTACTTGGGAGGCTGAGGCAGGAGAATCTCTTAAACCCCGGAGGCGGATGTTGTAGTGAGCCAAGATCACACCACTTCTCTC